ATTGACGTAATCTAATAATACAAAATATATGAGAAAGGTTTTATAGTAAAATTTGTAAAAAAAATGTTTCATTACAAAATAGTGCATCTTCAATTATTTCAAATTTTCGTTGGTGTTATTCATCTAAAACTCTTCAGATCTGCATATAATAAAACTACACTCTATTATAGAATATATATTTATGCAAACATGACAGCCCTCCTTGACTCAATCATTATGCTGAGCACAAGTGGAAAATATGTGGCGATCTAAAAGTCATCGCTGTACTCTTAGGAATGCAACTGGGGTACACTAAATACTGTTGCTTTTTATGTATGTGGGACATTAGGGACAGGAAATCACATTACATTCAAGCGGACTGGCCTGCAAGAAATCTTGACTCTACCGAGAAAAATATTGTTGCCGAGCCTCTCGTGGACCCAAAAGATGTTCTTCTTCCACCCCTTCATATCAAGTTTGGTTTAATGAAAAGTTGTCAAAGATATGAACCAGAAAGGACAGGCATTTACTTAAGAAACAAATTTTGTAGATTGAGTGATGCAAAAGTTAAGAAAGGTATTTTTGTTGAGCCACAAATTTGGAAACTTGTAAAGGATCCCATGTTTGACAAAGTTTTGGAGGGAAAAGAAAAGGAAGCTTGAGAAGCCTTAAAGGGAGTTATTCATGGATTCTTAGGCAAGAAAGATGATAACTACACACAGTTGGTGACAATACTTCTGAAAAAATATCATTAACTTGGTTGCAGCATGTCCCTCAAAATCCATTTTCTCCATTCCCACCTAGACTTTTTCCCTCCTAGTTGTCCTAGTTGCAACATGTCCCTCAAAATCCATTTTCTCCATTCCCACCTAGACTTTTTCCCTCCTAGTTGTGGAGCTATCAGTGATGAACATGGGGAAAGATTCTACCAGGATATTTCTGTATTGGAACAAAGATATCAGGACCATTGGAATGAAGCAATGCTTGCAGATTACTGCTGGTCTGTGTGTAGGGATGCACCAGAACTCACAAGAGGCAAGCCAAAAGAAAACAATCTCATGAAGTCACCACATGATTCTCTTTACACCAAACCACCTGCCTGGTATTCTTCTATTAATTTAGAACTCTTAAAATGTTACTGTAATTTAAAAAAAATTCAAAAGCACTTTCAATGTTGTTAGCATATGTAATTAAAATGTATTGTTTTCTCTTAATCTGTTAAAATCACCTATTGTATACCACAGAAACTAGAGCTAATAAAAATTTTTCTTTGTCATATTCAATTTTCTCACCCAAAATTAGTAAGATTTCACTCATAAAATAAAGGAAACATTCAAAAACGTTTTTTTGTTGTCCAGTGTTATCACATATGTATGCCATGAGATCCACAGGATAAGGAGACCAAATTAACAAAAGACATTATTTTATAGCTTCAACTCAACCTTCTTGAGAGTTAAACATTTAAAATAAACAATTTAGTATCATTAGAAGCCTTGACAGAAAAATTAAGTTTGTAGAATTATTATTATTGACATGGGAATTACAGTAGACCCCCCTATAACACTGTTGATAATTCCATGTTGTACAAGTCACTTAGATTTTACAAATACGTGTGCCAGGCTGTGAATGGCTCACATATTTGTAAAATCTAAGTCACTCGTACAACATAAAATTCATATAACACAGAATTATCAACAGTATTATAGGGGGATCTACGGTATGTTGCTTTGTATAACTTTTTGCTTTCAATCAATAGATTATTCAATACAACTCAATAACCACATTTACTCATAATTATTGTTCTATTTTTATTATTATTGAAAAAATTTGTGGCCTTTATTTATTCAATTTAAATATATTTAAAACTATTAGGTGGAGCCCAAACTTTGTTAGTGACTTGGGCTACTCAAATGTACAATCTGCCATTGGCAATGGTTTAGTTACCAAACGGGAGATTCACAATTACTTTCTAAATTGTTCATTTCCAACAATTCTGATACTAGAACTATTTCGTATTTGCCACAGATAAGGAGTGGCTCCAAATTCATGTAAGACAAGTGATCTTAGAGAGAGATCTAAATAAACTTAATATAACTGTCAAAAATTCTTTTATTGACATATTGAGGTATTATTATTTCTATTAGGGTTTTAAGATTGGTGAAAACAACACATCATGACTGGAACAGAACATTACCTTTATCAGATTTAATTTCTTAATAATATATTGATACTAATTTTAGGATATTTGAGTAAACATGTAATGAAGTTTACGATCTTTCGTTAAAAGTTTCAATCATGTGTTTAGATGTTTCATATATTTAGTTCTTGTCTTTAACCATTGTCAAATAGTAAAACTTGGCCAACAGAAATAAGCATGGAAAGAGCAATTTCCATGCTTCTTTCTCTCTTAACAATGTATAATCTCAACTAATTTAAATCACATTATGTGTAAGTAAGATTCATTTATCGACAACAAAGCTGTAATACAGGATTTTCTGAAAAGAATATTACCATTTTAAATTATTGTAACTATGTTAACTGTTAGCCGAGAATATCATAATATACAGTACGATACATGGTCTGTCCCAAAATTAATTGGTATTTTTGCATTGCTAGATATCTTAGCAGCATATCTAGACCTGTTTCAAGTTGATCACTTAAGTCAAACATGCACAATCTCTGTCGCAAAAGAGAGTGTTTCACATCACAATGTTTGAAATGGAGAAAAATCTCAAACAATGTGTGTTTTGTGTAAATCTCAAGAAATCTGCAACCAAGACATTTGCAGATTTAACCAAAGCTTATGGAGATGCCACCTTATTGAGAAACATGGTGTTTAGATGGCACAAAGATTTAGGGTAAAGACAATGCTTACTGTTTTTTTTTTATAACCATAGAATTGTACACAAAGAATTTTTACTTTCAGGATAGACAGTTAATCAGGCCTTCTACAAAGATGTCTTGGAATGACTTCAAAAATAAGTCAAGCAAGTCCTCAAAGACATTGCAGAAGATTGGGTGCTGCACCACGATAATGCACCTGCTCACACAGTGCTATCAATTTGAGTGTTTGTCCAAGAAAAAATCCCCACATGCCCACAATCTCCCTACAGTTTGGACTTAGTTCCATGCAACTTCTACCTATTCCCTAAGATAAAATCTAAGTTGAAAGATCATCATTTCGGAATAATGGAAAACATCAAAAAAGTTGAACCGACAAACTAAACAAACAGCCTTACAGAAAATGGCCAAATCCTGCTATGAAAAGTGGAAAAAACTTTGGAACCACTGTGTGACCTCACAAGGGTCATACTTTGAAGGAGATCATTTGTAGTTTGATGTAACTGTTGTATATTTTGAAATAAAAAATCAGTACACTTACTTTTGAGGCAGACCTCATACATTAAAACATTGCAAAACTATCAAATTTTCATATTTGTCCATTACAATTTCTCAATGCATGCACTTTGTGTCACATGGCATACATCTAACCAATGCACAAATTCTTCCTACAGTCACTATGGCATATCTGTTGTCACTTCTCCCACAGCAATCATAATTCTACATACAACTCTTGCAGATTACTCACATTGAACAATGACTAGTAATTCTGACTTTGCAAATTGCAGAACACAAAACACTTTCTGTTAAGGAATCATCATTTTTGCCTATGATGATTCGCAGAGGTAGGAGACAATAAGATGTTCAAATGCAGATGGGAGATGAAACTCAGACAGTTACTCTTATCAAGTAGTCTGTCACATATTTCATGGATAATAATTAACATAATTACAGTAATTTAAAGTGGTAGCATTTATTTCAGAAGACCCTGTATTTAGATATTAAATTAATCTGAACAATTACTAACTGTAACTTAGTAATTAATCTTATAAATATCAATAAAAAATATGTATAAAGAAATATTGGTTTGTCTGCTATATTAAAGTGTTATGCTTATAGTAAGTAATATTATTGTGTGTTCTATCTTTTTATTTAAAATTTGTTTTAAAATCTACAAAATCCAAGGTTATTTTTGATTTATACAAAAATAAAAATAAGAAAAATAAATATTAAATAGTATTAAATATTAGTAGAGACGATATTAAATTTGAAATATCTTATTCACTGAATTGCCATTTAGAAATTAATGAAAAGTTTTTGAAATAATTACCATATAAAATTCTCAAAATCACAAATCACTTGTACTCTTAAACTGTCAGTAGAGAAAACACTTTTGTTATTAGAGCCAAGTTTGATTTTCACAAATGTCTTTGAAAATTATTATAATAATAAGATATTTCACCACACAACAAATGTGCCTTTAATGGCATTATCTGAAAAAATAAATTAAACCAAGAACAAAAATATTTATATTCATTAAGACCAATTCACTTATATTTACAGCAAAACCATTTCTAAATGTTAAAAGCTAAACATATTATTGATAAATTGACTGTTCCTAATTACAGGAATCGTGTTCGCATGAAAGCAAATTTCATGCTTACATTCGATCCTTCAATATTTATGATACAATCAGAATAAAGAATGTGTATTGTATTGATTTATTTTGTTATTAGAGTTTTATATACTAGAGGTAGATTATGATAAAGATTATTCACTTCTTAACTCTTGCATAGTTTGGATATAGAATCTTTCATAATGCAACATTGAAAATATTGTTAACTTTTGTAATATTTTGAAATTCAATTTCAGTCTATCAAATCTAAAGTAATATTTCTCATTTGAATTATTTCAAATAATGAATTAAAATAATCCATTTGTTCTCTGAATTAAAATGCTTGACAATCTCAAAAATATATTCTAATATATTTAGACTATAAAGAAAATATATTAATTTTGTTAAAACAGCAATCAGAATTAGAACATTTTACACATAAATCAAATAAAACATTAAACAATTCCAAAATATGTTTCTTTTTTTAAGATCGAAAAATAATTATATTCAATGAGATTATTATATAAAACAATTTATTTATGAATTAATACACTGTAATAATTCAGTTAATGATTCACACTTAATACCATAAACTAATTCACATAACACTCAAGCAGTTTTAGCCCTCATGGCAGCTCTCTTGCTAGTCACTGCCTGGAAACCTGATTTGATGCTAGCAACAGAACAACGAGATCCACAAGTCTCACACTGAAGGAAGAACAATCTCGTGTCTTTCTGGAGGATTGTTTCAGGAGAACGACAGGTGTGACACGTAACATATTCCTCTGCAACAAGAATTTTTAAAGAAATATTGTAAATTTAAAACTCATATTTTGATCAGATTTTTCAATTTAGGAAACAAACATTTCTACTTACTTATATACCTTCTCAAAACATTTTCAATTTGTTTCTGCTGAAAACGACCTTTGATGATTAACTGATTATTTGCATCTACTGAACCACTACAAAATTTTGAATTTTAAATTATCAATCATTTAATTCTATATACATTGCTATACTTTATTTTATATAATTCCATACCTGGTACCCAATTCTGCTAATAAAAATGCTTGTAAATGTTTTGGTTGCCTATGTAATCTGAAAATATTAAACATAACTTTATGCTTCATTTGATCATAGATGGCATATACAATTTTTCATAAGATTAAATATCCATTACGAACGTTTTACAGATTTCTAAGAAATTAGCAAAAGACGTTTTCTTTGTGCCTATTCTCAATACTTGTGGAGGTCTCATAACAAATCTTTTCTTTTCTCCAGCCACCATATCTGGATTTTTCTCTCTCATGATATTAAATACTCTCTGAAGCAGCTACAAAGTAAAAAATATATTTATATAAATTTAAGAAATTATATATTATTAATAAATAAATCCATTTCTTGAACTAAATTTATTTTTCTTACTTCATCATAAGTATAATCTCTGTCACTTCCACCCCATGTTACAGAGTTAATTGAACTAGGTGGTTTAATTTCATCTCCTTCTGTATAAAAGCAATTTAATATCATTAAATAAATAAACAAAAACAATATTACAAAACATATCATTCTATCTAAAATAATTTCAATAAAATAATAGCAAGCATTTCAACAATACTTTCGAAAAAATTTTTTCCATCAAAAAGAATTCCTTCTAGCCTGTTCCTAATTTTGAATTATTTTATGAAACTAACTTCTGTGCAAAAATACCAGATTGTACAGTTTTTCATTAAGAACTTAGGATAAAACTTTAAATTGTCACAGGTACTTTTAATTTTTATTCAGTTGTCAAGGTAATTTACATATCTGTTCTGTAGCATTTGGCAAACCATCATGGAAGGATTTACACGATTACCTTTAATGAGATCATATTACATCCTTGATTATTCCAACAAGCCACAACTTCTGATGACCTTAAAATGAATATCATTCATGTTATTGGTGAGATACAGCCTGACTTACATGCCAGTCATCAAACATTGGGTTAATTGTATTCACTCTGTCAAATGCAATCATAGGGCCATTTAAATGATATTGTTTTTCATATGTAATACCACTAAATATACTATAAAACAAAACAATTAGCACCATATCTTTTACAGTCTTCATTTTCTTTCAATTCAAAGTTCTATCACTCTTACTGGAAAATTCTGTAGATTTAATCTCAAGGCATGATATTAAAAGCTTTTGTTAGAAATTATGGAATGGTTCCACCAAAGAAACATTTAAATAATGTATTTTTCTGGTATTTATATCAACTTCTTCATTCTGAGGCTTAAGGAATGATTTCATACAATTTTAAGAAACATTTAACTATGGCAATTCTAGTTTGGTAAATCCATTAATTATCTGAAAAAATAATTGAAACTATGGATAAATAACTTAATGACATTTAAAAATAATATCTCTGTGAGAGTTCTCAATGAACTGAAAACAACTATTTTGAAATCATGGAAGTTCAAAATGTACAGGATGTCATTCTACTGATTACTAAATAACAGTTAAAACTTGTTAAGCATATTCACTGGTATATGACAATACTGAAATGTTGAAATCAGAGCTCTAACAAATTAGGTCATTGCAAATGATGACACAGTGCAATAATAAAACTAGCACCTGTAGAACGATATACCAGATGATCATACTTAAATACCTCTATTCAATCCTGTCAAAAAAAAAAATGTTTAGCAGTATGATCTATACATATTTATTTATTTGGCTATAATATTGGTAAATGTAAAATAAGAATTGATAGTAGTCAATCAGATTATTTCCTATGATTTTATACATGTAACTTTATGTAACATAATAAAGATTAGTAACCAAATATTCATGTTATATTAACATTATATCAACTAACCTAAGGTATAAACCAAACAATCTGCTGGATTTTTCAGGTTATAATATGACTAAGTTTAACAATTGTAAATTTATTAGTGATGGGAGATACCAAAATTTCTCCTGATTCTGATTGCACTGAAAATTCCAGATTATGATACCTTTAAATACTTTCTAAACTTTATTTTATTTTAGAAAAATTAATGATTTACATTATAAGCATGATACATACATTAATTAGCCCATAAAAAAAAACTGGTGAAACCAAGTTGAAAAAGTAGAGCTTAGATAAAACATCTAAAAGGAAACTTTTGAAACTTGTGGCAAAAGAATTTGACAGTAAGACTCAGTGAATAAAGTGTACATTACATAGACTATAACCACAGGAAATTTTAGATGAAGTAATGTCGCCATGATAATAAATCAGAAAAATAAGCATCTCACAGAAAAAGGTTTTGAGCTTTATTTTGTGCCTTAAATGTGCTTTTCTGATACTGCTCAAAAATGTTCCAACATTCAGCCAAATTAATGTATATGCAACAAGTTCTAGGCACAAAGTAAAGTGCAAATAAAAAAAAAATCTTTCAGACTGTTTTGGCTTATGCCTAGTATGTTAACCAAAATTATTATAAAATAATAAGATAAACAGAATAAAATACTTTACAGATTTACAAAGCTCAAAAGAATTTAGGTACTAATAAATAACATTTTCACGTACCAAAAGTTGTTTCGCCATCATCATCATCTTCCTGAGGTTCTGTTTCAAGTTCATCAATATTAATTTTCTTCTTCTTCTTCTTTTTCTTTTTTGGAAGATTAAAATCCAAATCATCATCTGTTCCTGCAAGATCCTCTCCTTCTCGTTCTTCTTCGCCAAACTGCATCATTTCTTCCTTAGATTCTGTTTCCTAAAGAATTTAATTTAAAGTTAACTGGAATAATAAAACTGTTAAGAGAATATTCCATTTTTCTCTATTGCTACCATAAGAACAATATAAAAAATTTAATAGTATGTTACTTTAAAGCTTAAAACAATATTTTATTTAATATATAAATATTTATAGGTATATATTTACTTTAATAACACTTACAGGAAGTGCAGTTTCCAATTCTTCTAAACTAAATGGCTTCTTTTTCTTCTTTTTCTTTTTCATTCCAGAAAAATCATCTAAATCATGAGTTGTATCTATAAGAATTAAACATATGAAAGAATACATGCACAAAAAAATTTACAGATTAAGTACTGAGAGAGACATTTTTACAATATATAATAATTCTTGAATTATTTTTAACAAATAAAGCTGTACACAGATTTAACTGTCAATTGAAGCTAAAAACATTATAAAATTAAACTTAGAAATCAAAAAATGATTAGAAGAAAAGCAAACAAGTGCTGACATCTAAAACCACTACACAATTACTTTGATTTTTTGTCGTGTTTTATATTTTGCCCTGAATAGTGTATGAAAATAATTCGGTTTTTGACAGATTGATATTCTCTTAGATGTTATCAAATTCTAAATTTCACAACAATTGAAACATAAGTAAGTCTAAATATTCTAAATAAAATGATAAAATAAAATTCTAAAAAAAATTTTACTGATCAGAGTATTCCTGTAACCTAATTTATATATTGTAGATAACAATTAAAGGACCACTGGATTATTATAAATGTTTCCTAATAGTGCTATTAATTAAGTAATTAAACTAAATAATTTTGCTTAAAATAAAACAGTTATGTCGCAGTTTTGTAATAATAATAATATTCTGGAAAAAAAATTGATCTAGAATGAGACAAACACAATGTCTGCTTAGCATACAGATATATTACTAATTACACTATCCAGATCTCTGTTCTTCCAGACATTTATTACTTTAGATTATATTTGAGATCATTCACTGTGCTGACTGGGAACATCTACTGAGTGCTATGAAGGACATTTAAAGCCCTTTATAGCACTCAACCAACTTTCAAGCTTTCATCATGACTTTGTTATAGCCTGTTAACATAATTCTGAAGATTAGGTCCTTTGATTGTTCAAATATGGTTTGTTTACTTGCTCACTTTTGTTCAGTTACAGCGATATTAATTGGCTGATTAAATTACATACTTTGGCTTAAAGACAGGTTGTTAAGATGTCATCTTGTATTAATAATAATTATATTAATTTTAAAATTACATTTAATAATCTAGAACAAGATTCCAGATTAACTGCTTACTGCCAAGCTGAATTAAATGGTTTAATCTCTTAATTAATGATACTATTATAGCCCATTAGTAAAATCTGGTAGTTAAGGTTCTTTGTTTGACTACAGTTTAGGTCTGTATATTCTTGATAAGCAGACAATCCCAATAAAGCTATATTTCATCAAGATCAAGTTCCCTACCACTCAAATGCTGGATGTTGTTGAAGATTATTTGAACTTTTCTATTTATGAATAGTTTCTAATATACATAAATTGTTTGCATTGATTTATGATAGAAAATTTTTATATACTTTCAAAAAGGTGATAATGAAAAGATACAAAAAAGAACAAGTAAAACTGTATTTGGGACAAGATTATGTCTCAGAGACTCACTACTAAGCGGAATCACTTTGACGCTCAAGGCGGGTCTCGTTCTCATTCTCCAATCTTCTTTGGTATAGCTGCTTTTGGGCAAGATTGTTCAAACTTCGCCAGCCATGACCATGAGATCATCTACAATGCATTTTCGATGAAATTAACCTATCCAATTTTGAAATTTCTCTCCATTGTGTGTCACACAGCCCATTAAATTTTTGTCAATGCGTAATAAAAACTTCCCGTTTTTGAAAAATAATCATGGCTATTGTTTTGTCCAAAATTATTTTTTTACTTTGCACAAACAATATACAGTTTAACCTGATTATAACATCATCCGATGTAATGACAACCCTAATATAATGTCAAATTTTTATCAGTCCCATGATTTTACTATACTAGATAATGTTAAAAAACCTACTTGTAACGACATAAAACGTTGTTTTAATGTCATATTTGAAGCACTCCCAAATTTACAAAATTAGATTACAAATTTTATTTAACAAAGAAAATACTACATTTTCAGTCCTAGGGTCAGAGTCCACTTCCTAGAATGAGTGTGGGTGTACTCTCACTACCTGACTTTGGTTTGCCTGTTTGTAGAGACAGTCGCCATTTTGTATTTTATTTTGACTCAGTTCTTGGTCCCAAGTTCCTACAAGTCTGTTTTTTTTTATGCACACATGATTTGGGCACCTAATACTCTGTGCCAAACAGGGCTGTGGAGTCGTGTAAAAATCTACCGACTCCGACTTTTCCTTACCATCCGACTCCGACTCCAGCTAAAACACCTAAACTCCACGACTCCGACTCCACAGCCCTGCCAGGGCTGTGAAGTCGCGTAAAAATCTACCGACTCCAACTCCGACTTTTCCTTACCATCTGACTCCGACTAAAACACTAAAACTCCATGACTCCGACTCCACAGCTCTGGTGCCAAATTGCAACTACTGACATGTACTTCTTCATACCTCTAAGATGGTAACAAAGCAGGCAGTACAATTTTATAAACAAGACATAGACTTGTCAAAAATGACAAAAAATATATACCATATCACTTTGAATATAAGCTGTCCTCAAATTTAAGCCACAATAGGAGGAGTTTAAAATTGAAAAAAATAAAAATAATTTTATTTATATAATTTGCGTCAATTGCAGAGTATCTTCCTTTTTTATGCCCTGAGAATGATTTTCTCTTTTTTACACTAAAATAACTTTTCCTTCATGGCTCTCCAACGACACATGCTCTTTTCTTCAACTGTAAATCTTATATCAGCTGCACAATTTCCAATTTCTTTGGCACACAATATAACTTTTCTTCTGAATTCAGCATCATATATAAACAGTTTTTCCATTATTAGTGAGTGTGAGTAATAAAAAAAATTTAAAACTCTATTCTACACAGCTGCTATCAAACAGCAACTGAAACAGCAAAATAAAACAGTGCAAGTGTGAAACCAATGAATAAACAGCTATCAATGATTGTAATACTATGTGCATATATGGAGTTTAAAGCAGACTCAATTGTGGGAGATCAGTGGGAGATCAGCAGAAATACGAAGTAAAAATATTCGTTTTGAATTTAAGCCACACCCTAATTTTACGTCTTAAAAATTAGAATAAAAAGTGCAGCTTAAACTCAAAATAATAAGGCAATAAATAAATTATATACATACAGTATCATTAAGTTCCAAACCTGTGTAACATTACACCAGTATGGACTCAAAACATGTTTAATACAGTATATAAAAAATGAGCTCTACCATAATAGCATTTGAGATGTTATAATATATATGCTGTAAATGCTGAACAGTTACACAAAAATACATACAGTACAATCTTGGTAATTTAGCCATTTGCTACTTTGACAGTTCAGTAATCTGACACTAGACTCTTGTGTAGTATTGGCACTGTTGTCAAGTTGTAGACAAGCTTTCGATTAGTTCAAACTCCAGTTTCACTAAATTTGAATACCTTTCTACTAAATGTGGCATGAAATCAAGCCCAAGCTTGGGCACTATATAAAAGATTGTTCAGCTTGTCCTCTTGGGCTGCTTAAAAAAGGTATAGTATCTTATAACAATATTGCATTAGTAGTCCAACTTGTGCTTTATTGCATTGTTAACAGATGACTCCATGCTGTCAAATTTGTGTATCTGCTCAACTGTTTCATTATGTGAATTTTATTCACATTTAATCACTTAATTCATCAAATTGTGTAAACTTCCAATGATATGGCCATCTCCATAATCTTATACCGTTTTGGTACAATATAAGTCAGATTAAAGATTAAGCAATAAATCAACTAAAACCATAAAAGATATATGTATTAGCTTACTCACATTTTCATGAATTCAAAGTTGAAGATAGAAAAGTAAATAACAAATTAATTCTACAGGATAAAAAAAATCAATGATAACCACCCACAATACAAGTTATCGTTTAAGATGTTAAATTTCTTTAACATCTTAAAAAATAAATAAATAAATAAAATAAATTTCTTTAGTTATACTTCTGTTCAAACATAATAAATAAACTTCCATTTAATAAGTAAAATTAAATTTACCATCTTCTTTTTCTTCTCTGTTTTCTTTCTCATAATCATCTTTATTTTCTAATCCATTTTCTGCCTGAACATCTCCATCAACATTAACTGAACTACCATCTTCTAATGCACTCAAATCAAATGGGGTTTTCTTCTTCTTCTTCTTTTTCTTCATAGAAGGATCAAATATCTAAAAAATAATACAAAACTTATTAGATATTAAGTAATCCATATAAAATATGCAGTAATTTTAATAATTATTTAATACTGATTTAGAAACTATTTTGAAGCTGCTAGGATAATTTAGGTATTCAAAAATGTTTTAGTTAGCTTTAAGATGCAGTTCCTACTATACATAAAACCACTGGCATAAAACTATTGGGTTGGCCAATAAGTCCATGCATTTTTTTAGGTAAAAAATAAAACACAATTTTTTTTAATAGAAATTTTATTCAATAATATATTCACTGCTTTTATCAAGTACCTTTTGCCATCTTTCGCAAATCTTCATAATTCTTCATTCAAAAAACTTTTTTTTTTTTGGAAAAAAACTGTTCCAAGTGCCATTTTACATCGTCATCAGAAATGAAATATTATTCATTTGAAGAATTTTGAAGGGAGCGAAACAAGTGGTAATCAAAAGAGGTAAGATCAGGTGAATATGGAGGATGAGGTCCTGGTCAAGCTCCAATAATTTTTGCTGGGTTTGCAATGACACATGTGGCTGTGTGTTATCATGATGGAAGATGATGTTCTTCCAATTCACAAATTCTGGATGCTTCACCTGAATTGCTGTGTTTAATTTGTCCAGCTCGTCACAGTATACGTCAGAATTGACTGTTTTGTTTTATGGAAGCAGTTCATAAAATAAAACATCCTTCCAATCCCACCAAATTGAAAGCATGACTTTGTTTGGATGAAGTCTAACTTTTAAAGTGGTTTGCAGCAGTTTGCCATACTTCCTCATGATCTTTTGTGATTGATGTTGATGTAAACAATCCATTTTTCATCCTGTCACCATTTGCTTCAGAAATGGGTTACATCCCTCACATTTTTTTTAGAGAATTGCAGATGGAAATGTGAATGATGTGACTGGCTTCACTAAGTTTGTGGGGAACCCAAACATCAAGCTTGCTGATATATAAAAGTGAATACAGATGATTTTCCATACAGTAATACCCCGACTTACACGACTTTCAAATCTCGTCAATTCGTCTTTTGTTTGAGCGCCATGCAACTCTCGGTTACTCACTCATCCCACACTATTGTTTGGCTTACATGTTCGAACGTGTCGCGTGGAATTGACATATAGCTACAATTTATTTTCTGTTATTTATTTCTGTGTTTGTTATATCTATGGAGACTCGAGAAACTCTACTATGTCATCCAAATGAAGAAGAACTGATTCTTCCATCTCCCCAAAGAGGCATCCCTCATTTTATATGTTGTGTCATGTCTGTATGATGTGAGTGTAAGTTTAATGGTGTGTTATTTGAGTCTGCTAGAGTTACTGCTTTATATAATTGTGATGTTTCCTGTAGAAAAACTCTCGCAGTGACTGTATTTGTTTGTAGTGAAGGTTAACTATGTCAATCAGGCCACATCCGCCATCTTTACTTGGAAGGGTTAATCTTTCTATAGCAGATTTAGGATGATGTTGTTTATTCTTAGTAAGCGTTGTTCTTGTTTTCCTTTGGAGTTGCTCGAGATCTGTGTGAGTCCAATGTATAACTCCAAAAGAGTATGTGAGTACTGGGATGACATATGTGTTTATTGCTTTAACTGTGTGTTTTGCATTTAGCTGTGTTCTGAGAATGGCATTTAACCTACTTTGGTATTCTTTAATTAATCTTTGCTTTATTTGTGTATGTTCTGTTAGTTTGGCCTGTTGGAATCCTAAATACTTGTAGAACTCGCCCTCTTCCATGGATTCAATAACGTCTCCATTTCCAAGTGCAAAATCTTCTTTCTTCAGGATTCCTTTTTCTATGTGAAGTTTTTTGCATTTGTCTAAGCCAAACTCCATTTGTATGTCCTTAGTGTATGAATGTGTGATTTGTAGGAGTTGATGAAGTTGTTTTTGTGTGGATGCATAAAGTTTTATGTCGTCCATGTACATGAGATGTGACAGTGTAAACTGTGTTGTTTTTTCATGTCTGATATTGTAGCCATAATGCGTGTTGTTTAACATGTTGGATAATGGATTCAGGGCTAGGCAGAACCAGAGAGGACTCAAGGAATCTCCTTGAAAAATTCCTCGCCTAATGAATATTTCGTTTGTTTGTATGGAAGTGTTACTAACCCTGAGATGTAGTGTTGTTCTCCAGTGCTGCATAGTGTTTTCGAAGAATGCAATGAATGATGGATGTATTTTGTACATGTGTAGAATATGTAGCAGCCAACTGTGTGGAACACTGTCGAATGCTTTTCTGTAGTCTATATATGCCATGTGTATGTTTCTGTGTTGTTTGTGTGCTTGCCGTAGAATGACTGAATCTATGAGTAACTGTTCTTTGCATCCCCTGTGATTTCTACGGCAACCTTTTTGTTGTTCTGTAAGAATGTCGTGTTCTTCAACATGTTTGTATATTTTGTTTGTGATACAGGATGTCAATAATTTGTAGAGTGTTGGAAGACATGTAATTGGTCTGTATTGTGTGGGGTCTGTGGTTTTGTTGTTTTTAGGTTTCATGTAGGTGATGCCCTGAGTAAGAAATTTTGGCATGTCTTGTGGATTGATGATGATGTGTGTTAGATGTTTAGCTAGTTCCTGGTGCAGTGATGTAAACTTTTTGTACCAGAAATTGTGAATGTTGTCTACACCAGGTGTCTTCCAGTTGTGTGTTCTGTTAACAGCGTAGCGAATGTCGTGTATGTTTATTTCAGCACAGGGCATAGTTGGTATGTTGTGCAAGTTTCTGTTCTCCTCCTCGATCCAGCCTGCATCAGCATTGTGTGTAACAGCATTGGACCAAAGAGAAGACCAATAAGTTGTGAGTTCTTCTTCTGTTGGTGTGCCACTGTGCTGTGTATCAGTGTTTGTTTTGGTACTGATTTGTCTGTAGAAAAGTTTTTCATTGTTTGTGAATAATTTATTTTGTTGTTTTCGTAGTGTACATGTTTTGTATCGTTTGAGTCTACGTGCTTTGGCTGCGAGTTTTTGTTTTAGTGTATCGATGTATTCTGTAATGTGTGTGTTGTGATGTTCATGTTTTGTGTGTGTTTTGATTTTCTTGAAAATGTTTTTGAGTTGTTTCTTTAATTTGGGTGTTATGTTGTTTTTAGTGTATTGTGTCAGCCTGCCTAATTGCTGTCTAATGTCATTTATTTGTGTTTCTATTCTTCTCTGCCAGGCAGGCTTGTGATAGAATTGTGTTTTGTGTGTGTCTGTCTGTGAGTGTATTTTCAGTCCATGGTGTGTTACTACTGTGACTGCCCCAGCATAAACTAATGTATGAATGTCTGAGAGTGTAGAAATTGAATGAATGTAGTTTGGTAGTAAGTGAGTGTTTACATAATTTAGTGTTTTCCCTACTACCTTTGATGTGTTGATTTTCGGTATTCGTGGTCTTTGTGTGGGATCTGTGCCTGTATATTTAGTGAGTGTTTCCTGAAGTATAAGTGAGAGCATATTAACTAATTCTATGTCTATGTTATCAGTGATGGATGAGGAAGTGTCTGTAGTATCATTAATGATAGTTGTTATATGTGTACTATTATCAATGCTTGTTGCTGGATTATCTTGCCAGGTTATGTGATCTTCATTAATGTTACATGTTTCTGTCTGTTGATGTATTTGATCAGCAACCTGTTGTTTGATAAGTTCAAGTGTTGTTTGTGGATAAGGTTGTTGTGTATAATTGTTCTTTTTTGATCAACAACCCTTTGTTCGGTGACAGTGACGTGAGGTGAGGATATTGTTGTGTGAATCTATGGTGTAGTTGTTGTCTGTATGCTGTCATGTTTGTTTCGAGTTTTGTGATTGCGTAGTAAGTACGGATGATAAACTTGTTCATTTCTATTGTCCATTTCATCCGTTGGCGTGGTTTTCCAGCCTTTGTGGTCTGTGGATTCATTGTCACAGAGACACCAAGGCTAGTTTGATTCCTCACATCTGTTGAGGGCTTGGGCCAGCACTGCTTTCTTCACCGGTAATCAAGGGAGACTGCAGCCTATTTTTCGGACGTGAGCCTCTGCCTAACCCACGAACGCGACAGGTCGAAAAACCCTCAGGAATTTTTTGGGCGGAGATCCGACCGGATATGTCGGTCCCAGTCCTTCATTACTTCGCCGTCTTATTTGGTCCTGGCCGAACTGATAATGGGCTTGATAAAAAGAGGCTCTCTTAATGCCCACAAAGCAGAGAGTTAAAATGATATTTGAGTAAGATTTGTTTACTTCATTATTNTTGCATATTGGTAAATAAATATGTTAGTTTTCTTTCTTTTTTGAGTATTCTGTATACTGTATTGAACAAAATGGTTATGTGGCTTGCTCTCATCATTCTCTGTTATCCACCATGGAAAAAGTTTGGTGACCCCTGCTCCAGATCTTTATCATTAATTAATAATACTCTATTAAATATAGGAAATGAATTTACTGATATATTAACTGAAAACTTTTTAGCATTTCTTATTAGTCCAAAAATTAGTCTTTCATTACATATAAATAGGAAACTAACTTTATTCTTAGAAGAAACAACTTTAGATGTCTTTAATAAATTTAAATTTATACTTAAATTTAATTTTTATCATACATAGATTTGGCAATTCACAAAATTAATTATATAAAAATTATCAAATCACATACAGGATGTTTTTTACATCATAAAACAAACAAAATCTAGAAAAAAAAAGTTGCATTTCAGCTAGCTAATTACCAAAATAAAAGCCGATTATCAAAATAAAATATTGATCTTATATATATTTACTTAATAAGATGATTTACTGTTAAAAGAAATCAAAAACAAAAGCAATATTCATCATTTTAATTTATTAGAAATGATCTGGTATATTTTTCAATAACTTTATTACATCATTTTCAAGTAATATAGAATTATATCAATCTTTTATGGATAAGATTGTAAAAAATTAATTATACTTATAAAATAGCCCTCTGAAAATAATAAATTATAATTTTATGACTATGTAAAATAGATTTTTGTTTAGAAATTAAACATTTTTTTTAAGTATTTTTGAGATATTTGTCATCAGAAAATTGCCTTTTCAAAAATCTAAACTAACATAACACATCTTTTCATCTTTTGAATTATATTTAACATAGAAAGTATGGAATAAATACTAAAATTTACAAGATTAATAGATAGACTTAAAAAAAACTGAAGTTTAGCAAATAAAATTAGCTTCTTCAATACTTATATTCAAAACAAAGCTCTTCTTTTTTTTATATGGCACAAAATATATAATTAATAATTGTTGTATAAATAGTGTGCCATAAAACGGAAAAAAATATACACAAGTTTTCTTCCCAGCACTTTAAATTTGAAATAAGTGTTTTATACAATATGTAAAAATGAGGGCATACCAAGACAAATTATTGTACAGATGACTAGCAAATGGTAAGATGGCCTTACTGAGAGTTTGGGACTACAGAGTATATGGGAAAAAAGGGTCTGGGGCCTACTCTGAAAACATTTTGAAATATAACATAATACTATTAAATAACTATGTAAAGAATGGTATGCAAATATTCAGAATTTAAATGTTACGAACTGATCATTTATATTTTTTTGATCAGTATATAAACAAAATTTTTTAATACAGAACAACGAACAGATGTGGCTAGATCATCCCAAGCCCCTTCAAACTACAATCCTATGTATAGAGTAAAAATATTTTTCAAAATATTTGTTATACACATTTTTATATGATATATATAAAATTTTAAATAATTGTGTTTAATCAGTAAAAAGTTGTATATGAAGCATATAATGCCACAATGTTGTAAATGCCAAAATAAAAAACTTCAGGATAAACACTTCTAGTAAACGAATTCCTTCAGGAATTCATTTCAATTTTACAATAAAATGGTAAACTCACCAAGTTATAAATTCTCCAGAATAACAAAATGCTGCAAACATAAGTCGTAACGTTCTAAGTGCCAAAAGTCACATGACTTGCACTCTGACACTTAAAACTTTATGGCTTGCACATAAATTCAACTTCAAAATACACAACTTACAGCACTGCTATTGCCACAATATTTTTTGCAGCAGAAAACTTTGCATTTAGAATTCATTTTGTCAATAAAACCTATTTAGAAAAAAATGGCATTTACATCATGGCACTGCACGCTTCGTATGTATAATTATTGTATATTTGCACAAATTAATCTTAAAAATAAAAATATAGAAACATCTTATTCATCCTGTTTCGATATGCAACAAGTTAAAATGACATTTCTATAATAATAATAATAATAATCTATTAATCTGTTTATATAATGTTCACTGATCCCATCTTGTAATATATTTACCTGATTTAAATTCTTTCAAAGTCGATGCTATTAGTATATATATTTAATTAAGTATGTGTTTTATATAAAATTAGTGTATTTTATTAAGAAATTAAATATATTATGCTTAATAATTATCATATTTGTTCAGTGTGTAATATGCAATTCATGCAGCCATATGGAGAAGTAAAACTTCTTACAAATTTTTTGATAATCCTCAATCTGAGATTAAAATCTCAATATCAGACAAACGAAATATAAATTAAATTAATTTATATTAAGTTAAATCCAATTAATATTTCATTATATCCAATTTATTCATTTTACTTCACTAAGCCTTTTCTTACATTCCCAATTGAAGGTAATGAAAAAAAACCAAAAACAAAACATTTTAAAACTCACCGCTTCGTCCTCTGCCATTTTTAAAAATGTACTTTTATAAATTAACTTTCGATTTTTATGTAAAAGCTCAAACTAAAATTCTGTACAGATCCGTAATTAATACTTTTCCATCACAAATAACTCCAGACGATGATTGCATCAGACATTCTCCTGAATTGAAAGAAAGTGCACCCTAACGAGTAACGATTAAAAAAATTTCACCAATAATTATATTTCTTAAAATAATTAATAAATAATATCTAATTATTAATTAAATATTCGTTGTGTAAATTAATATATTATAAATAAGTATAATTGCTTTAAGATTTAAATATGGGCATTTTAAAAGCTTACCTATACTGGTAAGCATACTGTTGAGAATCTGAGAAATTCAGATGTTTGGTGTTCTTTATTATTATTTCGTATTCTTTATTTAATTTGTGCATAAAAATAAATAGTTTTGCTTCAATATTTTTGCACTGCTTGTTTTTTTCATAACAAACATATTTGCACCCCTCTATATATCACTTGATATAACTTTCCTATCAAATTTTCACGTAGATTACAATTTGACTGACTAAAAATAGTATGAATTTTTAATATTCATAAATTAGATCGTAAATTACTAGGTTTAATAAATAAAAAATTATATATAAAGAACAAATTCTTTTAAAAAGGAAGATATTGTAAGCATGTTTGAATAGACTTGTTTTTTCCTAACACTTTCCACTCTATGGACACCAACACGGTCTTTTTTAGCAAGCCCATTATGAGTTCGGCCATCACAAAGGAACAGCGGAGTTTTTTTATATTAAATTCTTTCTGCCCTGTGGGCACTTAGAGAACGTCTTTTTAGCAAGCCCATTATAGGATCGGCCAGGCGCACAATGAGGCGACCGGGAGAGGGACGGGACCCGATATATCCGGATGAACCACCCCCGAAAAATTCCTTGGATTTATTAACTCATCCAACTACGATCTTGTGTCCCCAGAGCGGTAGGATGCCACCTTAACTGCTGCCACTCAACCTTCGCTTGGTGTACTTTTTCAATATAGATACGTTAGGCTAGACCAGGGGTCACCAAACTACGGCCCGCCGCCGCACCGTGCCACAAATGAGGTAAAATATAATTATTTGTATGGAAATATCATGGATTGTAGATGAACTTACTATGTAGAAAAAATTAAAATAAATGCAAGTAAAAAAAACAACAAAAAACAAGTATTGGACCACTTCTGACATTTTTTTTTTGCATCCGACAGTAATATAATTTTTAGGATAATCAGTGAAATAAAAAATTCAACGACTTTGCATATCAGAGCGCTTTTTGTGTAAGTACTGCAAAGAAGTTTCTAAGATAAAAGATTACGAGCTTGCTGCAGCGAACATGTTTNAAAACTTCTTCCTTTCAAGGGTCTTTTGAGTTTGGGGAACAAGAAAAAGTCACAAGGAGCAAGGTCAGGTGAGTAGGGGGGTGGGGAAGAACAGTGATCGAGTGTTTGGCCAAAAACTCACAAGTTATGAGGGCTGAATAGGCTGGAGCATTGTCGTGATGGAGAAACTAATCGTCACTCCTCCACATTTCTGGCCTTTTGCAACAGATGGCATCCCTCAGACATTTCAGAACTTCAACATAGTAAGTCTGGTTCACTGTGGAGCCTTGGGGAGGTACTGTACTCGTGGTGAACAACACCCTTAGCATCAAAGAAAACTGTCAGCATCATCTTGACATTGGATTGATCTTGGCGAGCTTTTTTGGGTATGGGGACATTTCACTCACCCACTGGTTGAGCATAGCAAATGTTTCAGTCGCAGATTTTCCAAGCTTAACACAAAATTTCACAGCAAGTTGTTGCTCCATTAGGTCATTCATTCTGAAATCCGACAAACGAAAAAATCGCACTTCACTAAAAACCATGTAGCTAATTGACAAATAAAAATATCTGTAATTGGGAAATGGCTTTATCACCAGACGATCTGTACAAACCTAGTGACACCAAGCTGATTCCCCTGGAACAAACTGGAGCCGTGCAATTCAAACAGTCCATGTATTTTTTTGGACAAAACTCGTAAGTGCCAGAATTCATGTAACTTGCACTTTGGCACTTAAAACTTTATGGCTTGCACATAAATTCAACTTCAAAATACACAACTTACAGCACTGCTATTGCCACAATATTTTTTGCAGCAGAAAACTTTGCATTTAGAATTCATTTTGTCAATAAAACCTATTTAGAAAAAAATGGCATTTACATCATGGCACTGCACGCTTCGTATGTATAATTATTGTATATTTGCACAAATTAATCTTAAAAATAAAAATATAGAAACATCTTATTCATCCTGTTTCGATATGCAACAAGTTAAAATGACATTTCTATAATAATAATAATAATAATCTATTAATCTGTTTATATAATGTTCACTGATCCCATCTTGTAATATATTTACCTGATTTAAATTCTTTCAAAGTCGATGCTATTAGTATATATATTTAATTAAGTATGTGTTTTATATAAAATTAGTGTATTTTATTAAGAAATTAAATATATTATGCTTAATAATTATCATATTTGTTCAGTGTGTAATATGCAATTCATGCAGCCATATGGAGAAGTAAAACTTCTTACAAATTTTTTGATAATCCTCAATCTGAGATTAAAATCTCAATATCAGACAAACGAAATATAAATTAAATTAATTTATATTAAGTTAAATCCAATTAATATTTCATTATATCCAATTTATTCATTTTACTTCACTAAGCCTTTTCTTACATTCCCAATTGAAGGTAATGAAAAAAAACCAAAAACAAAACATTTTAAAACTCACCGCTTCGTCCTCTGCCATTTTTAAAAATGTACTTTTATAAATTAACTTTCGATTTTTATGTAAAAGCTCAAACTAAAATTCTGTACAGATCCGTAATTAATACTTTTCCATCACAAATAACTCCAGACGATGATTGCATCAGACATTCTCCTGAATTGAAAGAAAGTGCACCCTAACGAGTAACGATTAAAAAAATTTCACCAATAATTATATTTCTTAAAATAATTAATAAATAATATCTAATTATTAATTAAATATTCGTTGTGTAAATTAATATATTATAAATAAGTATAATTGCTTTAAGATTTAAATATGGGCATTTTAAAAGCTTACCTATACTGGTAAGCATACTGTTGAGAATCTGAGAAATTCAGATGTTTGGTGTTCTTTATTATTATTTCGTATTCTTTATTTAATTTGTGCATAAAAATAAATAGTTTTGCTTCAATATTTTTGCACTGCTTGTTTTTTTCATAACAAACATATTTGCACCCCTCTATATATCACTTGATATAACTTTCCTATCAAATTTTCACGTAGATTACAATTTGACTGACTAAAAATAGTATGAATTTTTAATATTCATAAATTAGATCGTAAATTACTAGGTTTAATAAATAAAAAATTATATATAAAGAACAAATTCTTTTAAAAAGGAAGATATTGTAAGCATGTTTGAATAGACTTGTTTTTTCCTAACACTTTCCACTCTATGGACACCAACACGGTCTTTTTTTAGCAAGCCCATTATGAGTTCGGCCATCACAAAGGAACAGCGGAGTTTTTTTATATTAAATTCTTTCTGCCCTGTGGGCACTTAGAGAACGTCTTTTTAGCAAGCCCATTATAGGATCGGCCAGGCGCACAATGAGGCGACCGGGAGAGGGACGGGACCCGATATATCCGGATGAACCACCCCCGAAAAATTCCTTGGATTTATTAACTCATCCAACTACGATCTTGTGTCCCCAGAGCGGTAGGATGCCACCTTAACTGCTGCCACTCAACCTTCGCTTGGTGTACTTTTTCAATATAGATACGTTAGGCTAGACCAGGGGTCACCAAACTACGGCCCGCCGCCGCACCGTGCCACAAATGAGGTAAAATATAATTATTTGTATGGAAATATCATGGATTGTAGATGAACTTACTATGTAGAAAAAATTAAAATAAATGCAAGTAAAAAAAACAACAAAAAACAAGTATTGGACCACTTCTGACATTTTTTTTTTGCATCCGACAGTAATATAATTTTTAGGATAATCAGTGAAATAAAAAATTCAACGACTTTGCATATCAGAGCGCTTTTTGTGTAAGTACTGCAAAGAAGTTTCTAAGATAAAAGATTACGAGCTTGCTGCAGCGAACATGTTTGTGTATTAATAAATAAATATGTCGGTTGTCTTTATTTGTTGTGTATTCAGTGTAATGTATCGACCAAAATAGTTATGCGACCCGCGCTCGTCATTTCCTCAGTTATGCGGACGTTGTGAAGAAAGTTTGGTGACCCCTGGGCTAACAATAGTTTTGGCAGAGATGTGCCGTGACATTTGATGATAGGGAAGCTGTGTTTCTGTAAGAAGCCGACTTCCAGGAGCAATAAGTTAATTGCGCGTCAGTGATGGTCTAAGCCAGGAGTGTCCAACCTTTTTGTTTCTCTGGGTCGCATTGGAAGAAATCAAGGAGTTTTGGGCCAAAAGTATATATAATCTATACTTGTGCCCAATATACAATTATATTTAAGGATTAACATGTCTAGATTATAATAATAAGTATTAAAACTTTATCACGAAAAAGGATATTTTAAAAAATTACTTCTACATACACTTTGAATTTTTACTTAGAAATAAGTAAATTCATTTATTATAAACGAGACAAACAAAAATTTATTTGAAAAACACAAATATTTGTTTTNATTTTTTTGCAGCAGAAAACTTTGCATTTAGAATTCATTTTGTCAATAAAACCTATTTAGAAAAAAATGGCATTTACATCATGGCACTGCACGCTTCGTATGTATAATTATTGTATATTTGCACAAATTAATCTTAAAAATAAAAATATAGAAACATCTTATTCATCCTGTTTCGATATGCAACAAGTTAAAATGACATTTCTATAATAATAATAATAATAATCTATTAATCTGTTTATATAATGTTCACTGATCCCATCTTGTAATATATTTACCTGATTTAAATTCTTTCAAAGTCGATGCTATTAGTATATATATTTAATTAAGTATGTGTTTTATATAAAATTAGTGTATTTTATTAAGAAATTAAATATATTATGCTTAATAATTATCATATTTGTTCAGTGTGTAATATGCAATTCATGCAGCCATATG